AAACTCCATCTGTCAGTGCTCAGCCCATTGACCCATCTGATGAAGATTCCATTGTACTTTGAGGTAACCTTCTTCGCTGTCCACTACACCACCAATTTTGGTGTCATCTGCAAACATACTAACCATAACTCTTATATTCACATCCAAATCACTTATATAAATGACAAAAAGCAGTGGACCCAGCACCGATGACCTCAGCGGGAGCATTCTGTACAGTTGTGCGTGGCATATTATACGAAAGATTGAATTGTACTAATTTTATTGTCACATGTACTCAAATGAATACACTGAAAAATTTAGAAGTCACCACACCACACATAGACGCCATTATAGGTACAAAATTATCTAGGAACAGATTCTTAAGTATAAATTCTTCGGAAAAAGAATATAGAAAAATAAAGACATAAAATAAAAAGACATGACTACATTGGAGAGATTGTAAAGAAGTTGAGACTGTTGTTCTTGGAGAGAAGAAAGCGAAGAAAAGATCTGGTTGAGGTTTTCTAAATCATGAACAACTGGGCAGAGTAGATAGGGAAAAGCTGTTCCCATTCATAAAATAAAGAATAACAAGAGGGCATAGACTTAAGGTGCTGGGCAAAAGAAGCAACGGTGATGTGAGAAAACACCATTTCACGGTAAGTAGTTAGGGTATGAGATATACTGCCTGGTACTGCGGAATAGGCAGGTTCAACGGAGGCATTCAGGGGGTCATCGGATGATTATTTGGACAGAAATAGTGAGCAGGGATATGGGAAAACGCAGAATATTGGCACTAGGTAACAGAAGTGGCGCAGCGTGATAGGCCAAATGACCTCCTTCTGTGGTATAACAATTCTGTGGTTATGCTAAATGACTAGACACTCTACCTAGTGAAATAATTGCTGAAGTATTTAACAGGTTGAGGTTTTACAACCTACAGACAGGCCAGTGGCTGAAAGTCTAAATTCAGAAGAAAAGATCCATGTCATCATCAAGGCAGTTTAGTTTCATCAGTCTCCAGGCCATCAGAGCTGAAAAGAAATTTAAAGCTCTTTTAACAGTTCATCCACACACGGCTGGAAGCCCTTCTTACAGTTCAATGAGAAAGGTCAATATGTTTGCCTGTGTCTGCATGTGCTTGGGAGAAACAGAAAGAATCCAGTCTGATAAATGTGCAGAAAATCATCAAAAAAAAACTTATGAATTTGTCAATTGAGTAAGAAATTAAAGAGGAGCAAATTACTGCAGATGCAAGAATCTGTACTGTAAACAAAAAATGCTGGAAATCACAGCAGGTCAGACAGCTGTCAGCTCTGATGAAGAGTCATCTAGACTCGAAACGTTAGCTTGCTCTCTCTCCATGGATGCTGCCTGACCTGCTGTGATTTCCAGCATTTTTTCTTTTCAGAAGAAATTGAAGAATGCGGATAGAAGTGGCATGAGTGCCTGTGAAGAATTTTGCACAGAAAAAGGATTTAACTTTTCTTTGTGCTGTTTACACTAAGGTCTTTCCAAATTCACATAATGCTTTACTTTATATTTTTGTTCTTTTGTAACAAATTTAAGTTCTTTGATTGAAAGTACACTGAGTACTACAGTAAACAAATTGCAAAAATGAAACTTGAGGTGTATCAAGACAAGTTTTCTCCGGTATTGCAACCTTCACTTGGGATGATAACACTGTTCTTTTGTCAAAGGGATGCACTTGAGATTTTCCTGAAGATTACTTTTTGATTTTCAGGGGCTACATTTTGGCTTTCAGAGATTCCTTGTTCATTTACAGTAACTCATTTATGGAGTGATACAGTCATGTAGTAACAATACTGTATTGAAATACCACATGAGGCATTTAGACTTATAGAAAATCAGAATTAGAAGAATTGGTCAATGTCCTCAATAACTGCACTCTCCATTAAAGTTAATGTCATAGAAGGAAAGTATTAATTTCCTCAACCCATAGTCTTTAAACCAGCACAAGACAACAGTAATAAATTAACAACAAATTTTTCTTTTCAAAGTAACCAACAAACACTTCTAAATAAAAAAAAACCATCACACTAAACACACATTCTGCAGACTGGTGTGGTCACAGTTAACATATTTGCACTGCTGGAACATTTTAACTAGGCAGTTATTACCCTATTTATTGCATTTCAAATCTCAATTCCCGATTGAAATTTAACAGTTGACACACAGTTCATGATATTAGCATTGACTACAATTTTCCCCATGTGGTAGCTCCTGACATTATGCAACCTTAAGCAAGAGATTCACATTAAATTTCAAGGTAGTCATTACCTCAGTGATTTTAAATCTTTCTTTTGACTATCTTGTTGAGTATTCCTTTGTTGACAGGTTTAAAACTATTTTTGCAGCCACCTTCTCCTCCATCTTGCAGCTGCCTCCTTGCCCACTCCCAACAGCTTATATACTCCTTCTTCTTCTGCTCGTTAATAGACTTACTCCACTACAGACCGCTTCCTTCTCCTGCTTGCAAGCTTCTCCTTTTACTCCTACCCACTGAAACCTCCATTATACCACCCAGACATTTGTTTTGAAGTCCCACCCTGCAGCCCCTTCTTTCCTTCATCACATTTAAGCTTCCTGCACACCCACTCCCAAAACCACCAGCAGAAGATGATGCATTCCAAGATCCATGTGATATTCAATCCCAGGACTGAGGTGATAGTGCTCCCTTTTTCAACAGATGAAAATCAGCTTTCTCTGTTGCCAACAGAGTCATTAAATAAAATTAGCTTAGGTTACCTCAATCAAATTCCTAGCAGGCATGTGACCACGCATCTAAATTAGTAGATATAAAGGATATTTTTGTGAAAGTAAGTTTAAGGTAGTGCAATGAAAGCTATTTGCTATATAACACGATATAAGAGTTAAGAGTTTGGATCTCAAACTGTGGCATATGGGTGTTTGTCTTTTTTTGTAAAGGGGTTTGATAATTAAAAATCATTTAGCCATTAATTTAGCAGAAGAAAAGATTTTTAAAATTTAGTTGAAAGCTACTGAACTCAATTTTAAGGAGACCTGACTGAAAGGATGTAAGAATAGTTTCTCCCAGAGAAAGGAGTTTGTTCAGAGCAGTTAAGGGAATAAGTTGTCTCAGTGTACAAGGTTCAACTTGTGAAAACTTCCAGGCCAGGATTTGTGTTTAACAATCTGCATCAGTTACTCAAAACTCAGAAAGTCTAAAGATCTCAGTCGTGTGAGGATTCAAGAAAAATTCTTTGCAGCTAACAGGACAGGAACGGAGGAAAGACAGTACTTAAGAATTGGGGATGGAAGGAAAATATCCATCTTTTTAATAACTAAAGTGATGGTGTTGGGGAGTTTGTGGGACTTTATTTTGCTAGGTGTTTTGAAATATTTCAAAGTTTATAATATTTAGATAGCTTAGATCGTTTTATTTTATTTATTTTGTTTCTCTTCTGTGTTTTATTGTTCAATCAAATCTGCAGCTTTCAGTGTTTCGGTTTCAGTGAAAGATTGCCACATCAAATTACAAGAAATAAAATACAATCTATCAAGCCAGATTTCATTCAGAGATCTGACTTGTACATTGGCAACATCAGTTGGGATGATAACAATAGATCTTCCAGGCAAAACCAAAAGGAACTACACTCTGTATTTTGTCTACGCTATCATTCAGTGGTTCTCAATTTTTTTCTGCACTCCAATTAGGCAGGAGAAACTAACCCATGAACTATCTATTTATCCTACCCACCCAATTTTGCTTGCCATTGCAAAAACTTAACTAGAATCAATGGGAAGAATGGTGTTGCTTTTGATGAGACATCAGTGAGTTGATATCTGGTATCAAACCAGAAAACTTTAGTCTCATGTTCAGCTTTGTGTCAGGTTCCTCTTCTTTTTTACTCCTCATGAGCGTTGAAAATCTAATCTTGTAGTTGTTATATTATAACAGTAACATAAATCTTGCTTTAAAAAAAGCTTTGTTGTTACTTGCATTTCTAATGATTCATACCATGAATGTGGAGATGGTTTGGTTGTGTGATGATCACATGAAGATTTGGATAAGGATTCAGGTCTCTTTTTTTGCATGGTTTTGGTCATGGGGCTGCGCATTAGTGACATGCATTTTGGAATGGCCCAAGGAACACATGGAGCTCTCTCGCATAATACGGTACGATGCTTATCATGGTAAGCTATAACACTGGCTAAAGAGAGATCCACTGCTGTAATTGAAATTAGTTCAAGCTTAATGTTAAAAGCACGAAAGTATCTCCCTTCCTAGCAGCAAGATAAATTTTTGCTCTTCAAAATAAGTCATCTCCTTAAATAAATTGTTTTGTCTTTAAACAACGTTAAAAATCATCCATGCCAGCTGAATATTTGAAGACTTCCATGCATGGTGTGCAAGTCGTAATTGGTTCATATCTAATATGGTAGAATTTGGCTTATGTTACTTCAACATCAACTGTTAAAGATGTAGGTCCTATAATAAACATATGGAGGGTATGAAAAGTTCTCAATACAGCAACAAAAAAAAGAGCCAAAACTTGAAATTATAGAAAGCCTGATGGAGCAAAGAGAATTTATCTAATTGCTACACAAATATTTTGTCCAGTATTTCCTGTATCAACATCACAAATATTGTATACAACTACTTCTTCTTCTCGAGTTCTCCACCCATAGGCAGATGCTTGGTGATTAATCTCAGCAAAGAGTCATGAATTTTACAATAGATAGGAGGTGGGAATGCTGGCCCAGAATTTACCTTAGCTGGGTCATGAATTGAACCCCATGCTCTTGGCACTAATCAGAGCTATACTATCCATTCAATCCAGCTAACCACCCTCTCAATGGAACTGCTACAACAGTTTTTATACAAAGTACTGCTTTTATGATCAATTAACCTTGAGAATTTTTTGGCAAAAACTATCAAATAATTTTAAATTACAGACTTTACATGAATGATAGAGTTTATTAAATCATAAACAAAAGAAGGCTTCAAGGTCAGTTGCTCTGCACTATTTAATTACCCGAGTCTACCAGCCGCTGCTCCATGACCCCACAGCCAAGGACCTCCATCCACTCTCCTTGGAACTTGATCTCCATTTCAAAGGAAGGATGCGTAAATGGGAAATAGCAATCCACCCATCTAATTTCTAGTCCTGTCACAAGGCAAATATGACAACGTTAGGAACTCCTGCAAAATTTGGCTCTTCAGTTAATGACACCAGTTACTGAATTCCAGGAAAATAAATAGCAAACAAACCATTTACAATAGTTTTGTGACAGCAATAAATCTCTAAACCAGAGTTAAAAAAAACAGCTATGTCTTTTTCAATATGAATGGTGCTTTCTGCAGTTCAGGCCCCCTCCAAATCAATCACTTGTCAAAACCACTCAGTCATCCGGCATTTAAGGAAAATGAGTCAAGATCATTGGAAAGCAGGGAGTCGTATTGAACAGCTTAACGGGCAGAAAACTAGTAACTTCTGAAAATGAGAAAATAGACTAAGGCTTCATGTTGGATTTGAAAAATTGATTTCTAAATCAAGCACTGTTGATCACAACACTCATCACAGGGCTCTCATTTTAGAACAAAAAAATTATTTTGTAATTTCAGCCAAAAACATTGATAAAACATGGAATTGTGTGTCTTGAATTATAGCTGTGCTTCTTTAATCTTCTGAATTTGCTAATAGTTCAGTGTTTTGGACTTCATGAAATATTGCATTGAGAAGCTAGATTACTATTCACATGCATTAAGGCCCTTGTGGTCCTATTTTGGCCTTTACTCAGTAGCTGTACTGTAGACAAGTGAAGTCACAGATCTGTGTATTGTTTCATCTGTATACACTGTTTGTTAATATTGTATTTTACTCTTTTGTAAATTCATAGTAAAAAGCTTTCAGATAAGTTTAATTTATTTTCTAAAGGTTTGAAAGAATAAAAGAATAATTGTGCTCTTTGATATAATGTTATTCATTTCAATGGTATGAGGTGGACGACCAATTGTTCTAGCCAAACATACAAGCATTATTGTAGCAATTTACAGAGCAATTAGAAAAATCATGTGACATTAGCCATGAACCATTAAAATTTAGTTTATTTATTAGAATTCAATTATGAAGAAGTAAACAAGATTTGAAATCAAAGTTCGTTATGAAAAGAAAAAAGCCACAATATTACATGGTCTTAAACAAGCAGGATATTTTTTACCATGCAACAATCATGGACAGCAAAATATCATCCGTTGTATACTCTAACATCCAGAATTAACTTCAGGCAAACATGAATACAAACCACAAACACAAAATACACACCAAATAACAGGCACAATCAAGACAGATCCCACAAATTTTCTCAGCAGCCTACCTAGACTTCAATGATCACTGTGAATTACAAAGAAAAATCCTCAAACTCTGCCTTTCTCATGAAGGATTTCTGCTCCTCATCATCAATGACTTGGTCTCTGATTTCCTTTCAACAGTAGCTCCAACTCAGTATGGAGGCCCTCTTGTTTCTTCGGCTAGCAAGAGTCTTGAGGTATCAAATGCAAATTCAGAATGTTTCAATAACTACCCACTTCCCAAATATTCAATCTCTTCTCCTAGATGTTGTCTGGGCTTACAAGGCTGCACCCCAGCTAATGACTGGCATGATTCCAACTCTCTAGTTGCACTGAATAGTCAAACTGCACATTACTGCTCCTGTGCCCTAGTTCTTTAGCTGCATGGAGAAGACAATCACTTCAGCTTCACTGAACTGACAACTGTTCCTTAAGAGCTGTCTCCTATGTCCTGGCTCCCCAGCAGAATTGAACCATCACCTGTCCTTCACCCTTGTGCTCCTGCATCTGCTAAAGATTTAAGTTTTCTTATTCTAAGATTGCTGCTCACAGATTTTCTCTGTGCATCAAAACCCCAGCTGTGCTGAGTGGTCAGCCATGGCTGTTCTCTCAAATCTCATTGTGTGGACTAACTTTTGTGCTGCACATCATACAAATGCACTGCAGATCTATCCCTTCACATCCTTCAACCAGGACTTAGCTTTAAATCTGGGGCAAAGTCAGTCTCAAAACATACCAACCAGATATAAAAATATAGATTCCCTCTCTACGACTTCTATTCAGATTAAGGAATGTAACAATATTCTTTTGTAAAGAAGAACAAAAAACAAATTCTGATTTTCAGTCTCAATCTTTCACTATCGGAAATAGAAATAATATTCCCAGCAAGCAAAGAGTGTATCATACAGGGTTTCAATGACAACTATGTCAATATAGTGCAAAGCTTTAAGAAGAATCTAATCACCAGAAACTCTTGAAAAATTACATCTGTAGACTTTCCAAGGCTTCCCTCACAGGTAAAGCATGTCTACAAATACAATTTAGGGCAACACGGTGGCTTAGTGGTTAGTACTGCTGCCTTGCAGCGCCAGGGACCCGGGTTTGAATGCAGCCTCTCTGTGGAGTTTACATATTCTCCCTGTGTCTGAGTGGATTTCCTCCCATAGTCCAAAGATGTGCAGGTTTGGCGGATTAGCCATGCTGAGTTGCTCATAGTATCCAGGAGTATGCAGGCTAGGTGCATTAGCCATGGGAAATGCAAGGGTACAGGGATAGGGTAGAGGGATGGGTCTGGGTGGGATTCTCTTGGTCAGTGTGGACTTGATGGGCCAAATGGCCTGCTTCCACACTGTAGGGATTCTATGTGTCAGGTGGAAAACATTAAAGTATTAGCAATCATATCACTGACCAAACACTTTCGAAGATGGGCAAGCAACAATCAGATTTAACTGCACAGGTTGGTACTTTAAATATGATGATGGACTAACAGCCTCATGGATGCAGGTTCCTAGACTATGCTAGCCCAGAAGTTGCCTTTTTATTTGGAATTTCATGAACAGTTGGCTTTTTTTTTGTTCTTTGCTGAGTGTTTCTCAGAACAATAGTTTTAATGCATGAGCAAAAACACTGTGGATTTTAGTCATTTGGTAGTATAGAAATTGAGTGAGGCTGAAAAAGACACATTTTGTCAAAACTTTTCATCTTGCATGCATTAGGACAATTTGCAAGAATAGCAATTCAAGGGGAAACCAACATTTACACTGCGAGAGAAGAGAATGCTAGTTGATTGGAAGTGGACTCTAAATGGCAGTGGCATTGCCATTGCCATTCCCATGGAAAATTCACCCATTAATGCTGACTGACAGGTAACTGCCTGACTTTGTTTAAATTTTAAACAAGGCAGATTGACTCTAAAAATTACTCTCATCCTCAAAAGGAACCTGCAAATGTCTGTCACCTATTTTGTTGACTTGAAACAGGTGCAGTGCACGTACATATTCTTTCTTTCTGCAAAGAACAGGGCTCTCCGCATTAATACAGGTAGCTTTCAGCATCTGAAATATCCCTTTGGCCTGAAAGAAATAAATTTGTGTTTGTAGAATATTGTTAAATGCTTAAATACTATATTTTTAAAAGTAGTTTTTAAGTTTGTTCATTTTTTAGCTTTTTCCTTAATTCCACACTTTTTACTTCATTTCTAGAAATTTTTCGAAAGATGATTAAATTATAAGTGATTTTAATTTTATGACTGGATATCCAGGAGAATTCTTCAAACTGACTGGCTGCTTGGACTGCTTAATGACATTACTACCGAAATTATATTAAACAACCCTTTAAGCAATGTTACATCAATTACACGTCAAGGGATGTTGAGTTCTCTCCACATAGGTTGCTGAATGTGTCAGTGCAGTTTTCTTTGTGGTCAGTAGTGAGCACTATTGCTTCACTACTGACTGCAGTATCTGGGTATTATATTTGCCTGTTTCATCTCCTCGAGTGGATTTGCAGTATGCAGACAAGCTGCAAATGCTTAATTTATGGGTATATGATTCTTCCCTCCTCCCTCAGGAAACAGTTTAAAATTTTGTCTTGATTGTTTTAAGATCTTTGTCTTCTTTCTATCTACAGCTTTGTTTATCTCCTGCTTTTGGAAAAAAATGATTTTATGTTGTTCAAGAACAACACAGGCATGCAAGATATGTTTCAGTGACTAGCCATGTTGACTAACTGCAAAAATTAAATATATGTTGTATCAAGCCAGATTTCTTTCTGGTTTATCCAGTATTGCCATCAGCTGGGATCAAATCACTGGAGAAAGTGAACTGAAAATCCACATGATCAACTGGTAATGTGAGGAGTCCACACCACAAAAACAGTCAGGGTTTTCAGCCTCAAAAGGAGGCATTAGGATAGGAATGATCTTTTTCAAATTCCTACACTATTACTTATGGACTACCTCTAGGAAGTATTCTTGATCTCTAATATATATCTAATACACTTAAATATGATATGGCATGATCTATTGCAGTCAACATGCTTTTAATGTCATGACTCACTGGGATAACACACTGGGAATCGGGGTCCACTATTGCCAGAGTCAGAACAAAGTTGAAAAGTTTCATAAGTACGCAAAGACTCCACAAGTTACTTATCTTCTTGACTCAGGTTGACAAAAAACACAGACCAGGTTTCTGTACTTAACAAAAAAACTAGGCTCTATCTACAGATAAGCAGTTATGAACTGTCGGCACATAACTTTACTCATTAAAGCTCTAACCCCCTTAGAAACGTCCCTTCACATACACAGAGGAAAACAATGGGTGTTATGAATGCAGAGAATACTGGGAAAGCAGTCCTGTGGTCATTATTCACAGGATCTTTGGAGATGGCTCTTGTGCTGATCAAAATGCTGTTTCTCGGTCTTTATTTTCCCAGATGTTTCCAAAATGAAGCCTGTGTGTGTGCCACAAGGATTGGTGCTAGGTTTACTGCTTTTTGTCATTTATATAAATGATTTGGATATGAATATAGGAGGTATGGTTAGTAAGTTTGCAGATGACACCAAAACTGGAGGTGTAGTGGACAGCAAAGGTTATCTCAGAGAACAACACAATCTTGATCAGGTGCCAAGGAGTGGTAGACGGGGTTTCGTTTGGATAAATGTGAAGTGCTGCATTTTGAAAGGCAAATCAGGGCAAGACTAATACACTTAATGGTAAGGTCCTGGCAAGTGTTGTTGAACAAAGAGGCCTTGGAGTGCAGGTTCATAGTTCTTTGAAAGTGGAGTTGCAGTAGATAGGATAATGAAGAAGGCAT